GATTTTAATCAAAGAAGAAATAATAATGAAATAATTTTATTTTACCAATATATCAAAAAAATAAGACATCGACGACGAAGATAGCACATCATCATCATCATCATCGCAGCCCGTAAGACGTCCACTGCTGGACATAGGCCTTCCCCAAAGATCTCCACGACGATCGGTCCTGCGCTGCTCGCATCCAAGATAGCACGCTAAGTTCTAAACTACTACTAACAAAGTAAACATAAAAATGACAATAACAAATTTAATATATATATATCTAAACATAATACATTCAGGATTACTTACAAAATTAAGAAAATAAATTTCTTGTCATTTAATAACATTTAAAAAAAATATATTTTTATATTTAAAGAAACCCATTTTATTTTTCGGGCTACTCTAATGCTGTTGGCCGCAGCTGGCCTTTACAGCTTCACCGGACGTTAGGGGCGAGTGCTAATGGCACTCCAAACCCGCGGAAGGACTTATGGAGCGGCTGAAGGCCAACTCCTGCCTGACGGATACGACTTTAGTCTGAGGGCACCACTAGGGGTTCGAACCTCGGCTCAGGCCGTCGTAATTTCGATCCCCGTTTGAGAGAGAGAGAGAGAGAGAATATACTTTATTTGCAACGTACAGTAAAGAAGAAGCACAAACAATATAATAAAAGACACATGTATCGTTACAATAAGGCGGCCTTATTGCTAAAAGCAATCTTTTCAAGGCAACCTTAGGGAAACGGATTGAAACATCGAACAGGTAGGTTAAATGACATGAACAGGAGAAAACTAAAAAGTAACAAATATATAATGATAATAAAGAAAAATAATAATAAATATTATATGAATTAAAATTTATGTACACAATAATATTCATATATTAAACTAGATACACTTACATAAACTACATACATATTATAAACTACATACATAATTTTAAAGTTAAATAGAATAAACTAAATATAAATTAAAATGCCATACTAACTGAAATTTAAATATCGAGGAGGAAGTCTTTTACTTGTCGTTTAAAAATATGAATGGACTTTGCAGTTCTGATAAATACAGGTAACGAGTTCCATAACTTGATACCAGTTACAGTATAGGAATTGTGATAGAATTCAGTGGAATGCGAAGGAGTGGAAAGCAAGAGATTTTCGGAAGAACGTAATAACAAAGAATGAGTAGAAGAGGAAAACATGATTAACGTTCTTTGAGATAGGAAGGAGCTTTGGGATTAAAAAGGATGTTGTAAAGGAATGTAAGGGTATGCATATCTCTTCGCTGTCGAACAGTAAGCCACTTAAGTTGGGTACGATATTGCGATACATGATCAAATTTGCGCAGGCCGAAAATAAATCGGATACATAGGTTTTGAAGACGCTCTAATTTATTGAGTAAATCGGAATTTAGGTCTGGATAGGAGACATCAGCATAGTCTAGGATAGGGAAAAGGAGTGAGTTTGCAAGGGCAATCTTAGTGGCCGTGGGGAGAAAGTTTTGAGACGACGGAGTGATGCAGAGGCTGCAAACATCTTCCTGCTAACCTCCGTTACTTGATATTTCCAAGATAGTGTTGAATCAAAAGAACACCAAGATTTTTAACTGACTCGCTAAAAGGAATACAGACGCTATCAAATATTATAGAAGGCAAGTCAGTGTAATCCAGTCTAGATGTATACGCAGGGCTACCTATAATAATTGTTTTGGTCTTCTCAGGGTTCACTTGAAGACCATAACATTTGCTCCAATCCAAGATCCGTTTCAAATCATTATTTGTCTGATTAATAGCGTCTGCAAGATTCTCAAGAGTAGCCTGTGAGTATATTTGTACATATATATACATGTGGTAGAAAGAAGAAATTTTGAGGGTAATCGAGCTGATGAAGATTGTAAATAAGAGAGGAGACAACACACCACCCTGCGGAACGCCAGCGATACTGTTACACCACGACGAAGTGGATAGATCAATTTTAACACGCTGCCGACGCCCATACAGGTAATTATGAAACCAATCGAGTACCGCTGGAGATATGTTAAGAGAACTTAGAACTCCTAAAAGAATGTCAAAATCGACGGTATTGAAGGCGTTACTAAAATCTAGTAGCGTTAATACAGTAAGCTGTCGATTTTCCATACCCGATCGAATGTCATCGGAAATCTTGACCAACGCAGTAGCCGCACTATGACCAGGGCGGAAACCGGATTGGAAGGTATTATGGAGACAGTTTGTAGTAAGAAATGAACTTAATTGCCAATGAACTAATCGTTCCAATACTTTTGACAAGAAAGGAAGAATCGAGATGGGGCGATAGTCGCTGAAGGAAGAAGGATTGGCTTTTTTAGGTAAAGGAATTATATGAGCCTCTTTCCAGCATTGGGGAATGGAACTAGAAGAAATGGAAAAATTAAGGATATTGGTTATGATAGGAACAAGAATGTCTAATAAGGGAATGATCATTTTACGGCTAATGCCATCAGCTCCGATAGCATTGGAGGTAATCGATAGTATACTTCTCTTAACATCACAGACAGTGAAACGATTAAAAACAAAAGGATTGTAACTAGGAGTGGATTTAGAAGAAAGACAATTTAGTGTATTAGTTTTGACCAAGTTGTCAAGACTAGAAGAAGAGGCAAAGTGATTGTTGATCATGTCAAGATCGAGATTTGCGGAATAATCTGTATTACGAGATTTACCAACTCCCATAGAATTAAGAAATTTCCAAACTTTAGTTTGGTCTTCATTTTCAATAGAATTATGAATATGGTGTCGCCGTGCGTCTCTACACATCATGTTGCAGTGATTTCTTAGACGGTGATATCTGTCTCGTCGACGGGTATCTGTGGGGTTAGCCTTAAAATGAGCTTTGGCTCTATTTTTTTTTTCTCGTATGAGACGAATATCATCAGTAAGCCAAGGAGCAGGAAGATGCTTAATTTTAACTCGACGTACTGGTGCATGGACGTCAAAGATCTGTGTAAGGAGAGAGTTAAAGATGTCCACTTTATCGTCTATTGTTACGGCCTGATCTATTACAGACCAGTCTATCTTTTTGGCATCCTCACGAAGCCCATCGACATTCAAGCCTCCAAAATTGCGTTGCAAAAGGATTTTGGGTTTAGGTTTAGGAGGTCGGATTTTATACGAAAGGTATATAAGATCGATTTGAATTGGACGGGGGATCGATTGGAGGGGAAAGAAACCTTATTTGGTTAAAATCTTTTTAAATGTTATTAAAACACAAAAGAAAAGAAAAGAAATTTATTGCCATGTAATAACTAGCGCATATATATAAAACCGGTACAATGATAGTAAGTTTGACGAATTTGTGATAAACTTAAAGAAGATTTTAACGAAATAACTTTGGAAAGAAGAAAGAGAAGAAATTTATTGTATACTAAACATGAATTTATAAAATTACAATAAAACATATATGTGGAATATACATAGAAAATACCCGACAAACAATCATACTAATGAATACAAATGTTTGTACCGTGCGCGGATTCGAACCCGCGACCGTCGGAACTAAAACGGTGTGCGAATGTTTATCAAGAAGCTTGTCTATAATAATATCTGTATGTATGAGTGCTTCTGTGATGAGTCAGCATAAACTAACTTGCAGTTTGGAGGGTGCGACGCAGAATTTAACTTTAACGCTAAGTTATAGAATCGATATTTCATTAAGTTTGTTCATTTATTTATATAAGGATACTAACGGCCCATATTATAAATCTCTTAAAGGTACTATGAATATCATATAAATCATTACATAGTATAAAACAAAGTCGCTGTCGCTGTCTGTCCATCCCTATGAATGCTTAAATCTTTAATTTGAAGCCGTTTTTTTTAAATGATAGTGTGATTCAAGAGGAAGGTTTATATATATAATAAAAATACGTACACCCGTGCGAAGCCGGGGCGAGTAGCTAGTATTAATATAAATTGCTCTGTGGACAGGGCATTCACGATCTTACCATCTTACTTAAAAGTTGTCTATAAGAGTTTGCTTAGCGATAAGACCGCCTTTTGTATATATGATTATATAGGTATACTAGCTGTCCCGGCAAACGTTGTTTTGCCTTAAAATAAAAATAAAAAATTTAGGGGTGGACTACCCCTAACATTTAGGGAGATGAAAAACAGATGTTGGCCGATTCTCATACCTACTCAATACGCTCACAAAATTTCATGAGAATCGGTCAAGCCGTTTCGGAGGAGTATGGGAACGAAAACTGTGACACGAGAATTTTATATATAAGATATATATATTCAATATTATTTTTCTGTATCTGGTACCATAAAGTTTTTTTTTAATATGATAAAAATTTATAACGTCCATTTGTTGGCACTATACCGTTATCATCACAACTCCAGTAGCTTATTGTTTCTCTTTTTAAATTGGCTCTTATTAAATTTGAGAGAGCTGCAACAACCCTTGAGATTAGAGGGGTAAGGTTTTATTAGGGGCGACTAACGAGTGTCGATAAGGAGGCATAATGCCCCTCGACATCGGGTATGGTGCAATTTATAAGCGGAAGCGAGTGTTCTTGCAAACGTCATTTACGGTACATAAGTTTTAATTTTCATTATGAACAAATAAATGGCAAATCTAGGTGTATGCACAACAAAAATCTGCAAACTTTGCCAAACTGAAGAGGAAACGCCACTACGCATCATATGTGGTTGTAGCTCACTCATGCATAAACGTAATATCTCCTTTGGAAAGTTTACACTCTATCCTGAGGAGATAAAAACCAGCGCTCCTAAGAATATTCTTCAATTCTTATCCCTGACGGGTCTAAGTACCGAACTCAGAAAAAGGGCGAGCACATGGATCTATGTAAGTCAGTGTAAGTAACCTGACAATAGCCCAAACAACCGAATAAAAAAACCTCATTATAAAATAAGTTTGAATTTCTACTGCAGAACAAACACAATAAACAACAATAGTGAATGTGCTATTATTTTATAAATAAATAATTTAACATAACTTCTTTATATTTATTGTCATATAAAGAAGTTATTTGTATATTTATTTATTTCTATAAGTACTATAACTTAGATTTTTAATAATAAAATGCATTATTTTTATAAATGTATGGAAAAATGCATTTTCTTATTATGAAATTTTAATACGTTCGGTTTTGTCTTAGGATCGCCATTCCTATTGGTGATCAAGATGGTATTATAGTTTCTGGCGAGTAATGTGACGGTGTAGTTGTACGAGAATGAATCCACGAACGTCGTACGGAAGATCCTATAACTTAGTTTTTTAATAACAAAATGCATTATTTCCATACATTTATGGAAATAATGTAATACTTTCTTATTACGAAATTTGAACGTGTTCGGCTTGTCTTTGTAAGCACTAACTTTAGATTTTTGAAATATTTTTAAGAATTTATGTGCATTACATATAGTTTTCTTATTATAATTTAGTCGCATATTTTTTAGTACAGTTTAATTGTCGATAAATCGCTTCCTCCTGAGACTTGCACCACGTATAGGGGGGCAAACCATCCACTGTTTAATCTTCAGTTCAATCTTGACTTAAATGAACACCTACAGGGCTAGTATCGATTGTTAGATAGTGGGAATCCACTGGTCTCCTAATGAATTGATTTGGCACGCTATTTTCATCAATTAGTAATGGGATAGGTAGTGAGTTTTTCAATGAAAACCAAGTATTTGCTATGGAGGGAAGGGGTGAAATGTAATTATTTATTTATAATGTTTTGGATTGAAAATAAAAGTCGCAAGAGAGAGAGAGAGAGAGTAGTACTTTCCTTCTCTTTCTATATTCAATTTATTTTAACAAGGATATCATTCCTGATAATAATAATCTCAGGACAATTTACACAGATATCTAGTCCCAAGTTAAGCTAGCTAAAGCTTGTGTTATGGATACTAAATTACTGATACAAATACATGGACATCAATTTTTTCATAAATACATACATAGAAATAACCCAGAATGATATAAACAATCAGACTCATGAATATAAATGTTTGTGCCGTGCGAGGAATCGAACCCGCGACCATCGGAAGTAAGGCGGTGTGTCAAACCGCTAGACCACCGAGGCCGTGTTATTATTTCTGATATAGTCCTTTTTGAACATTATATAGTATTTATGATATAGCTTGTTTTGCGTTTGTGTAATCTAAATATATATAACTCAAAGGTGACTGACATAGTGATCTATCAACGCACAGCCCACGCCACTGGACGGATCGGGCTGAAATTTGGCATGCAGGTAGATGTTATGACGTAGGCATTCGCTAAGAAAGAATTTTGATTAATTCTACCCCCAAGGGGATAAAATAGGGGATGAAAGTTTGTATGAAACTTTGTCAATTTTAAACCGATCGGGCTGAGATTTTGCATGCATAAAGCTACTATGACGTAGGCATCTCCTAAGAAAGGATTTTGATAAATTCCACCTCTAAGGGGATAAATTAACGCAAGCGAAGCCGCGGGCAAAAGCTAGTTAAATATATAACAGTTTTGCTACAATATAAATATATATATTCTATACTAAGACTGTATGTTGTTAAATTATAGCAATATTTTTTTGACGTAATGTAATATATAAATTTTTTTATATTGTTAACTAGATGTTACCCGTGACTTCTTTTTTTTTATAATTTTTTTTTATTTTTTGATAATTGTTAACTAAATTCAAGGTGGACCGACGATTTGGTCAAGATCGCTGGAAGGCATTGGATGCGAGCAGCGCAGGACCGATCGTCGTGGAGATCTTTGGGGGAGGGCTATGTCCAGCAGTGGACGTCTTCCGGGCTGTGATGATGATGAACTAAACCTATTCTTAAATATATACAAAACTTTTATATTGTTAAATAGCTATGACTATTAGTGATATTTTACTTTACTTACTACCAACTGTACTTCCATTTCTTTTTTTACTAACTTTTTTTTTTATTTATTATTAAACCGATCGTTTTTTTAAGCATAACATTACGTAATACACTGTATGTATTGTGCTATACCCATGATTGCTGTTTGACCTTTGACTTGCAGATGAGATGTGGCAGATAACATTGCACAACTGCGATGCTATCGACTATTTAGACGCAGAATGACGGATCACCTTCGGGAACGGTAATGAATCATTATGAATAACGAAAGATAGGGTTCAAAACTAAAATGGGGGAAATCGTAGGGTACTCTGTACACCGTGGGTCTAGATAACGCATTATATATGCGTCTATTAAGTAGTAAATTATTAAAGAACTCATAATACAAAAACCAAAACCCAATCTTTTATCTACCAAACGATAACGCTATTGAATTATACACGAAAATAACCTTCGCTCATTCACCAAAAAGGGGAGGCAAAACAAATACGGTATATCGTAGCAATTACTTAACCAAATCGCGGTATAAGCATATATTGATTTGCTACCAAGTGATCCCCATTGCATGCCTCCATCACATTTCCAAGCACTTTACGTGAAATAACACTAAAAAACCCTAACATTACCCCTTCCCTATCTGTAGTACCGGCTTATCATCTTTATATTCCTTGGCCCCTGTCTTTTATAAAAAAAAAACACGGCAAATGCATCCTTCCCCAAAGTACAATATAAATTTGTGTGCTATCAATGCCGTGATAAGATACGATTTATCACTTCTTTAGGCTTTTATAGGCTCATATATGGATTACTTTTGTAAATATTTGGAGACGCAATGTATGGATCTTGGAAGAAAGCGAAATAGTCGTAAGTTCTATGTTGATTATCGCATGCCTCTTACTTGTTACTGTATATATATTTACTAGAAATAACATTTATTAAAAAGAGCAACACGCAAATTTCATGCTCGTTCTTCTTGTGATGAGTCTGCGTTCCGAATGAGTGGTAGAATTAAAAATATGACTATTTAAAAATGCGTGTATTGAGTTTATTTCATTAGTGATTAGTTCTATTTCGGTAATCCCAATTTTATACCCGAGCCAAAAAACTGTTTCAAAAATTCAAAATTCATATTTATTGACGGTTTCCGTCTAGCGGTTTAGCACATCGATTACTTTTAATGGTCGCGCGTTCGACTCCTCGCACGGTATAAACTTGAATATTCTGTAGGTTGAGAATGGGCTACTATCTATTTTTGTGATAAGGGTTGTCCACCTCTAACATTTATTTTTTAGACAAAATTTATATTCATTATAATGTGGCATTAAAACATACATACAAGTATAAATTTTCACCCTTCTATCACCTACTCCTTTTTTTAATATCGATTTTAATTTGTATAGCAAAACAACGTTTGCAGGGTCCACTAGTATGTACATAAAATTATATATGATCTTTAATGAGCTGTACTATTTAAGATACCAAACATAGAAATCCAAGTAGAGCAAAATACAACACAACCAATTCTAGTTCACAAACAACACCTAGTGCTTGGACTCTCCCGACTTCGACTCCATGGCCGTAAAACTGCGGGTGGTCATAAAATAAAAAGTGTTTGCTTGCCCCGAGATAACTGGGAACAAAGTTTTCTGATAAGTTTTTATTTCCTTAGGGGAGCGAGCAGGTAAGACGGTTCAAGACAGTATTACACGAATTAGTTGAAGCGACGAAATCTTAGAGCCGTTTTGAATTGCAAATGACCTTCTCAAATTCACTGGATAATCAAAAATATACAAGCGATAATGTACTTTAGAATAATATTATTGTTTATGTTTGTAAATAAAGTTTGACTATATTTGTATATGTGCCTAGTTAATTATAATTTATACGTATGTGATATAATTATATCATTTCTAAATTGAATGAAATTTGTAGTAAATTTATTGTCAACTAGCGCGAATTCTTCTGTGTGGAATTTAAACTAATTAAAATAAATAAAATTCTATAAAAAAAAGTAAGCTAAGTTACTCCTTGTAACATTAGCTAACGCAGAGTGAAAGTCTTGTCCAAATTTGTCCTGCCATTTCAGAGATTAGCAAGAATAATCAAACAGACAGACAGACATCCAATTTTTCTTACTAATTATAAAGAGCCGATAAATACACACATTCAAATCAATATAAACAGTTATACGCACGAATACAAATCTATGTATGTTTGTATAAATGCGAGAATCGAACCCATGACCGTTATAACATGCTAAACCGTTACACTACCGAAGATGTCCACTGCTAGCAAAAATATAAACTTCCCATATTACTAACAAACCCTTTCGGATCTGTGTCGCAACAAACAAATTTCAAATAAAAGATTATGTACTTTATATTGTTATAGTAAAGACATCATTTACAAAATTGTCCGGTCAAATCTCCACGGTGACGCAAACAGACAATTTTTCTCGTTCATTAAGCCAAGAGGACGAGGAGAATGTCAGATAATTCGTACCTGCAGGTATGAATCATTTTAAGTGTCCCGTACGGAACGCTGGCGCCGACCGCAAACTTCCAACAATGGCCAATAAACACGCCATAAAATATGAAAGGCCGTACTAAAAATGCCATTACTGTTTGCTAAATATCCACCTTTTGTTAAATGAAGCCGTCAAATGGTCTACGTTTGTGTGCTCCGCAGACAGAAGGGTTAACTTGTGGGACCACCATCGTAATGTCCTTACGTTGTTAAAATCACTAACCAGTACATATTCATTAATTTAAAAATGATTTATTTTGTAATCATGTACATGACTTCAAAAATACAGAACATTTTTGAAAATAGAACAAATAGCATTGCGTCTCAATACACACGTATTGTATAATACAAGGACGACGTGACAGTAACGTCATCTCGTCATCATGTACATGATTTCAAAAATACAGAACTTTTTTGAAAATAGAACAAATAGCATTGCGTCTCAATACACACGTATTGTATAATACAAGGACGACGTGACAGTAACGTCATCTCGTCATCATGTACATGATTTCAAAAATACAGAACTTTTTTGAAAATAGAACAAATAGCATTGCGTCTCAATACACACGTATTGTATAATACAAGGACGACGTGACAGTAACGTCATCTCGTCATCATGTACATGTCTTCAAAAATACAGAACATTTTTGAAAATAGAACAAATAGCATTGCGTCTCAATACACACGTATTGTATAATACAAGGACGATGTGACAGTAACGTCATCTCGTCATCATGTACATGACTTCAAAAATACAGAACTTTTTTGAAAATAGAACAAATAGCATTGCGTCTCAATATAAACGTATTATACTGTCATGTCATCATTACGAGTACATAAGTACAAAAATACATAATCTTTTTGAAAATAGAACAAATTGCATCTTAATACACACGTATTATATGGATACGAAAATACCGCGAAATTTTGTTTAGAATTGAACCAAATAAATATTGAAGTGAGGTAGAAATATAATTTTATAATTAAAAAAAAAATTTAAATCTAGGCAACGTACCCAAGATACTGGCAGCTTTGCTGTAAATGGCCTAAAATTTAAAAATATTTCGTGTTTTTGAAACATGTACAAGCTTATTGGATAGGAATAAGAGGCGAGTTTCTTGTCAGTTCTTCTCAGCTCGCAAGCACTCCGAACTGACAGTAGATTTGACATATCATAAGAGTCTGTAATAGATATATGTCTCTCGGATTAAGTTTTTTAGTTTGATATCGGTGTATTGATCACCAGAGTCAATAGAAATAGAAATATTCCTTATTCAAATAATCTTTTATTTTTTAAGCATTTTATTCTACTGCTTATTCGTAATCATATGAGAGAAAAATATGAATAAAGATATTTTTATTTCGACCACGTTTGAATCTAGAACAAGACTCCAAATATGTTTCCAACTGATATATTCTGAATTATTGTCAATTTGTGGCAACCGCTATGAGTAAACAGTTGCCGCGAATTAATGGTAATATTGAGACTGGCCTACCGTTACTAGTACCTTGTGGAGTTGCCAAGGTGTTCTACCCCTCAATAAATCTTGTCTAATTTGTGTGTAATTACAGGACGGTACAGTTCTCGTTATAACAAGGAGTGCGTACCAGCGGGGAGTCGGCGGCACGTGCTTATGCGTGCCTCTACCAAACTTTATAGAAAAAGACATATAGTAAAATTTTATAGCAATGAATATACAACCTTATTAACAGCTGAAAGAAACTCAGAGTTGAACGTCAAACTTTATGAAATATTAAGCGGAGCTATTGTTGAAATAGATTTCACTAATTTCACTGTTATTATAACGGCTGAAGGTACAATTTGCTACAGCAAAGTGAATAGTTTTAACGATTCTGCTCAAGTTTGGATCGCTATAAAATAGAGTTGCAAAGTAACGTGCCGAAAGTTCGATGTTAAAATATAGTAATATGTTCTTTGACCCCTCGGTGAGATGATCATAATTTTAATAAAGAAACTAGAGGGGTGCAATATTTCGAATGAATTAAACTTGCATTATTATTTTCTAAACAACAATATCATGGAGAGCGTTGTTATTATAGAAAAAAATATTGATTACAATGAAATATGAAACTATACAACAGTTATTATATTTATATTAGTGTTCGAAAATCGTTAGAATGCTTTTAGTAAACTATATAGCGTTTCGCAAAGTGCATTCTGTCGTAAAACAGCTATAAGCAGTATTTTAGAATATATTACATCAAACAAACTTTCCATTGATGAGTCATGAAATTAAGTGAGGCGAGCCAGATGGCTGTGGTCTTTTTGTTAAGCCCTTTCATCCCCACATAATTAGGAGCGTATAGTCCACGCGATAAATAAATCTTCGCAGGCTGCATTGCCGTTTGAGTAGTGCGAATAAATTTGTGCCATGCTTTATGTTTTTGTCGCAAACCTATATATCCTGATCCCATTCATCGGACGCATTCAAATGTGAGTCTTAATGCAATAGTAAATACTGTTGCAACTCAGTCTGTAACAAATCCACATACTGGTGTTGGAACCCCAAAAAATTCGTCGATTCGAAACTGTACACCATTTACAAGGTTGATTGAAATTTCGCAATCAACATGGGGAGTGCTATGATGAAATTATTCGTGTATATTTTTTGGCCAGACCAGCTAAGGTTATTCCATTATAATGGCCCTTCGGAATAGAAAATTTACGGGGGATT